AAATAATTTTTTGTTCCTGCTGGACAGAGCCCCCTTTGCTTTCTGTTCTGGTGAAAGTGGTGTCACTGGTACAGGTTACAATCCACCAGGGGGCACAAAGAGAGCAACAAAAATATGAGAAAATCACAAGTGTAATAAAAGCGCCACACCCTTAATACTTTAAAGCAGCAATTCCACCTCAAAGAAACCAAATAAATTTCTTAGTGCTATAACTTAAATAAAGGAATGCGCTAAAACCACAAACTATTCCTAATTTAGTGTAGAAACATTAGTGCAAAAAATATATATATCTATTCTCAATTAATATCAAAAAATATCAAAATTATGTGCAAAACTATTTTTTAGTGCATAAGTAATTTAAATAATTAAATTTATGAATATAAAAAAAAATGTCCAATTCTGAATTTCTTCAAATGTCCAAATAAATCCTTTTCAAATTCAGGTGCTCTCAAAGAAATTGTGCCAAAATCCACACCAAAACAAGTAAAGTTGGGTAACTCACCAGAGCTCCATGCTGATCAATCTCTAGAAGAAAAAAACGCTTTTTGCTCTGGGAACAGATGCAATGAATCAACTTCTCAGGTGTGATGATCAATAGCTACACAATCATCCATCCATAAGGTAGGTATCCACCACTCAATATAATGGTTCCAGGAGCATTATATCACTCTCTCTCTTTTTATATCTCTCCGAGGTCATGTTTGGGAATGAAAGAGAAAATCATGGTGCAGCCAGTTTTTTTTAAAGTATCCAACTATTTAATAAAAATTTACACTCACAAAAAGGGTGTCTTCACCGACACCAGTATAACAGCATAAAACAGCAAATGGTATAACAGTCTCCTGTTCCCCGTACACTCACTACAGCGCTCGTGACTTAATTTTCTCCACAAACGTCAGCATCCAGCAAGCCAAGCCCTAGTGAGTGTACGGGGAACAGGAGACTGTTATACCATTTGCTCTTTTATGCTGTTATACTGGTGTCGGTGAGGACACCCTTTTTGTGAGTGTAAATCTTTATTAAATTGTTGGATACTTTTATAAAAAAACTGGCTGCACCATGATTTTCTCTTTCATTCCAAAAACATGACCTCGGTGGAGAGATATAAAAAGAGAGAGTGATATAATGCTCCTGGAACCATTATATTGAGTGGTGGATACCTACCTTATGGATGATTGTGTAGCTATTGATCATCACACCTGAGAAGTTGATTCATTGCATCTGCTCCCAGAGCAAAAAGCGTTTTTTTTGGTGCTGATCTAGAGATTGATCACCATGGAGCTCTGGTGAGTTACCCAACTTTACTTTTGGTGGTGGATTTTGGCACAATTTCTTTGAGAGCACCTGAATTTGAAAAGGATTTATTTGGACATTTGAAGGGGACAAATTTTCAAAATTGACATTTTTTTTATATTCACAAATTTAATTATTTAAATTACTTATGCACTAAAAAATAGTTTTGCACATAATTTTGATATTTTTTTTATTAATTGAGAATATATATATATATTTTGTTGCACTAATGTTTCTACACTAAATTAGGAATAGTTTGTGGTTTTAGCGCATTCCTTTATTTAAAAAATATGACAAAAGTACTAAAACTTTCCCCCCTCTTTAAAAGTTTTGGTTGAAACTCCGCTCTATTCCTGTGCTTCTCCATACAAGTACAGGCTGAATGAGTTTTGGGAGGGACCTCAAAACATCAGTCTGACACACCAATCCAACCCCCAGACAGATTTAGGTCAAGTAGGGGGGGGGACTTCACCCTTCCCACCCTACATTACCATAAAATATGCAATATTTCAAAGCTGAAATTTGGCAATTATTCAGTTACTTAGTTCAGGCTAAATGGAAGTTTATTCTGTTTTTATTAAAATGTAATATGACTTTAAAAAGACTCAGGAAAACAAACTTCCTCATCCTGTTTCCAGAAGTGAAACCAAATTCTGTTTACAAAACAAACACCAAAAGCGTGACACAACTTCACATCCGGATGGGAAAGATCAGAGATTAGTGATGATAATAGTCCTCATTACAGTAAACAGTTCTTCGTTTGGACAAGTCCAGGGAGAGCCATTACATTTCTAAGAAGCCCTTCAGATCCAAAACACGTACTCTGTCCTGGGGTTTGAAGTCTGTAGAATTCATTTTCTCCTAAAGAAACTCCTCATGGGGACCCAAACCTGAAAGAGCTGCAGGTAAAATGTGCATACTTGCAGCAGCTTTCTATCTTCTCATGAACAAATCCTGGGATGTTCAGATGCTTCCAAGTATAGCGGAGGTTGCCACTAAGCCCCATACCCACATAGTCCTATTAACCCACCTATCTGATGTGCACCCTCACTGGCCAATAGGAAAGTGAGGAAGGAAGCAAGAAATAGTCAACCTTCAACATTACCAGGAAGCACAGAACAGCCAACCTGGAGTTTGGCCCTGACTACAGAAGGATGCTGCACTTATGTACACCCCCAGCTGCTATGGAAAACACTAGTTAAGTGACTGTCATGGCATAAAACTGTCTCAATACTTTGATTCAGTAACCTGCAAGTAGTACACCAAAAATGATTTTTTTATTTTCTTGATCTAGAGGACTCAACTCAGGGACTGAAAAAAAAATTAAAGTCAGACCACCACCTTAACAGCCAGGCATTTGGTACTTTTAGAAAGTGGTTAGCAATGACAGCTCCTGTAGTTCCCTCACTATAGGTTTACCTGGAAATGTAGCGGTGAAGTCCTATAAAAAACTTGGAAGCTAACAATACTTCTAAACTGCAGACAACTTGTGGTGCCTCCATGTATCTCTTCAAATCCATAATACAAAACTAGGGCCTCTCCAAGCCAATAAGGTTCTGGTAGAGGACTTGTGATTGGCAGGAGTTGAAGCACAGCTGCAAGAGGAGGAGGAGCTTCGTACTGATGTATGTAGAAGTCAAGATCCTAAGTACAAGGTGAGCCTGAACGCAAGAATTGATTCAAATTAATAGAGGTACAGTACTTTGTGTCTACAGTTTTGCTAGTTTAGATACTTTTTAGGTTTTAACACAGAATATGCACTTCACACTCAATGCACAAAAACTCAAACCACAATATACCACAAAACAGCAGCTCCTAATCACAATGTGCAACCAAATTCACATACAGTAATATGCAACAGTGATGTAAACATACCAAATAAAGTCCAAAGTGTGCAAAACATGATATCATGATAGTTTAGTACAGATTTTGCACTTACTTCATGTGAATGTCCATTTGTAGTTAGTTTAGCCTTTTAATGATAAAATCATATGTGAAATGGATGGAAAACAAGTGAAAAAAAAAAAAATTATATATATATATATATATATTATATATATATATATACAGCTGAGGTTTTTTGTTATTTTGGAGCTTCTTATATACAGTACTTTGTGGGATATACTAAGATAAAATTGAAGTAGGTGATGTAAGTGATGGTTTACCCATTTGAGAACAATGCTCTTTTTAACCTACCTATAGTTAGGAGTTTACAACTTTCGACAAGTGCGTTTCTATTGGGTGAAGGTACACAAACTGAACAGCTCTGGGGCATTTTTCATCCATGCAAAAAGAAACTTTTATTTAAATTTTGGCCAACTTTTTGTATTATAATAAAATTATACCCACAGCGATGGTTTAAAAAGTGGCACACACACTCAGTAGTGATAAACTAATCATAAAAAACAAATGTAATAGAACATGATAATCCCCAAAAAATTTTATTAATATGTGAAAAAAAAAAAAAATTATATTATATATATATATATATATATAATATATATATATATATATATATATATATTAAAAAAATGACTGATTAATGTGAATCTAAATAAAACGTCACATATCTAAATCCACCATATAATGAAATCAACTTCCAGTGAAAATAAAAAAGTTCAGTGATAAAGAAACATCCAGTGATGAGAAAAAACATCCAGTGATGAAAAACACAGTGGTCACAGTATGCCCCCACACGGGTGTGCACTTACCAGTGCTTTATTGTCCTCTGCTTTGGCAGTATGAAAAAACAGAAGAGGGCTTTAGCTGGTAAGCGTTGATATAAGAGGTGAAAGGAGTCCCTAAAATCCACTTATTCAGCAACTATGTACAAGGATCTCACAAAGGTATCCAATCCGATGTCACTCCATATCATGTAAATATATATATTTGTTTCACATTTATATATTTTTTCACATATTAATGACATTTGTTTTGGATTATCATGTTCTAGTACATTTGTTATTTTTAGGATTAGTTTATCACAGCTAAGTGTGTGCGCAACTTTTTACATCATCACTGTGGGTTTAATTTTATTATTGTTGGATTTATATAGTGGCAGCAAGGGATGTTAGGTTATTGACATTTCACATATGATTTAATTTATTTTTGCATCTAGCGCAATATTGTGTATTTCACTGTTGACTTTATACACTGAGTTTTGATCAACTTTGTATTATATTTATACCATGTTTTGCATTCTTTGGATATATTTTCACTTGGTTTTATTTTTTAATGTATTATTATATGACTGTTGCATGCGTTACGTATGGGAGGGGGGGATATGGTTGCAATACTCTTTTGTAGTATACCTTTAAGGTTCTGGCACATTTATATTAAAGAATTAAATTTCTGTTTGTTCATGTGCTCTTCCCATTTAGCACATCAAAACCGAAGAAAGACCTCCCCTCTCACTAAGCCTTCAAAGTTGTCGAGAACCACACCTTACATATTCCTCTGCTTCAAGTTAGTTGACTAAATTATGGGTCCCCACCCATCCTATTGAGCTGTGCCTGGCTGACCAGCTGGTGTAACCTACTGTCAATCAGACATCTTGAATAAAAAGGGGCAAGTGCTGACAAACATGGAACAAGAATGCATGAAGTTATGTCTTCTAAAAAAGATTACTTTGCATTTCTCTCTGGAATCTATTATTTTAGATGAAAACAGAAATATACAGCCACACAAGTCAATAAGAAGTCCCAAAGTCAGTCCACCTCTGAATCTTTTTCAAAAACATCTACTTGTGTATATGACCTCCATGCCTTTAGATTACAACTTTTCAGAACTGTTCCCATTTGCTGGCCTGGTCCAAGTTCAAAAGTCTGTGGAAAGTCCTTTCCTTTTTTTCTTTCATAGATGTTGTGCATGATCTGCTCCCATTTCACAGGGGACACCAGTTGGTTCACAAGAAGATGTGCAATGCCTTGGCTTTGCTTGTACTTCCTTCCATCAACATTACAGTAAACACTTACTATAGGTGCCTTGAATGTCAAACCCTTCAGTGCTTCTGCCAGAGGTTCCACAGCAGGTTCCATTAGACGGGTGTGAAAGGCGCCACTCACTGGCAGCAGCTTAGTCCGTAAAAAGTTATATTTGTGAGAATTGTTTTGAAGGAACCGAATGGCCTGGAAAACATAAGAAATGTTACGGTTATCTCGCTGATAACCTTCTGTAAGACTAAGGGCTTGCTCACAACACGTGCAGTGATCTGGTTTTCTTTCTCCCTCGTTCACACTAAATAATAAAAGCAATGCAACAAGTTACTGAATGTGCATTTTAACGTGCAGTATGGTGTGAAGGACCATAAAAGTGGAACTGACAATATCCACATATGTTCTTATTTAGGTTATGGAAAAGTTTAGCTGTGGCAAAATTTCACTGCCCTGGTGCAGATTGGTAAAGTCCAACAAATAGCCCAGTGTAAACACTGACAACACTGACTAAGTTAAAGTATCAATAAAGACATAACTTTTTATTTTCATGTTGGATAGAGTAAGGGAAGGTTATAACCAGTCTCAGTTTTTTCCCAGTGTCCCAATGGGGATATCTCTTGTCATTTCCTGTCCTATATTCAAAACAGGAAGTGAGAGAAAATCACCAGGATTAGTATCCCCAGTAGAAAATGTCCCTTCTATTCTTGAACCAATGTAAACCCAAAATTTGGTATTTTCTTTTACTTTCACTTTTGATGATAATGGGGGCACAGGCCACAATAAAAACTGACAGGCATTCTAATCCCTCTAGACTCTATCCTAACTAAAATTTTACCTTTTATGACACTTTAATTTAAACATGCTTGTGATAAACACAGACCAATATTCAAACAAAAGAAAAAAAAAAAGTTAACAAAAAGATAAATCTCCCAAAAAGAACATCCTCGGTGAACTGCTTGTTTTTTTTCTGCTGTCATTCCTGTTCTAGGTAATTCTCCTCCTATGAAAATGTTAAACCAAACTAAACCTGAGAACAAAAATGTTATCTATTTCACCTTATTAGTGCTTATGTTGTGGCTGAATTCATTTATTAGGTTTTTTTTTCTTTATTATCACCGGATGATCCTGCCAGTAACACAATTATTCCTGTACTAGAAGGAATGCTCACTGCACAAGATCTATGGAAAAGGCACTGGGTCAACAAAGCAGAACATATAAAGTCCAGATTCAATTTCATTCAGACTCTTATGTCAGTCAACACTTTATAGGGGTTCAAATGGTCTCCTTTTATCAGGTCTTTGGTAGAGCTGCACAAAGTGTGTACTGGACTAATAAAATTGGAACAATCCTGAGGGATAATTAGTCTGATGATCGCTGCAAATGCTGGTTAACGTATCTATGGAGGAGTAGCATTATCACCCAGGGACAGGAACTGTTTTAATGCTACAGTACACTTCCCCCTCTCTGCATCATAGGGGGGAGGTGTCCTGTAGTCCACAGAGAGCACTTAATGTGCTTGATAATGTAAACTTATATCAGCATAGGCAGACAGCACAGTAAGTTATCAGCTCCAAGAAGTCTGGAATAATCAGATTATTTTATTGCAATTACTGAGCAGATAAAACAAAATGCTTTCAATGGTATATTAAACAGACCAAAAGGAAGCAAATAAGAGAAGTTCAGTGTTAGGGCTTATATACACTTTAAATCATCCCTATGCCTAAAATAAACCATCTTACCTCCATATGTCCTGCAATCACTTTGCCATTTGGAAACAGGTAATTGGCCACCTCGCACACTGGGTCCTTAATGCCCAAAGTAAGACAGTGGTCATGGGCCTCAGCGCAGGCTGTGCTGTATTTTGTCTTGAAGTTCCCAATCACAGACAGCATACCACTCTGTACTGCTTCAGATGCCTTCTGCATGGCTTCTGCCCTCACTTTTACTGCATACAGAGCTACAATACAGAGATGAAAGAAGAATTATACAGACATGTTCATCATAGAGTCCTCCTCTATTCAATTCAAAATTGGAATGTTCTCCCCATACAAATGTTCTCCCCCATCCCTTTGCTAATTAAATTCTAGGTTCTCAGACAATGTATCTGTAGCCCAAGGCTAATGTGCATAGCTTCAGGGTACAGCTGCTTTATAAACCAAAATTAACTATTACAAATTACAGAATTTTCACTGCAGCTGTGAAGGGGAGCAAAGCAAGCAAATCCTGCTAATAACCCCCAAGCAACAGATCTCCATACGTGCAACTAAAGGGAACTCAAACACAAATGCAGTGATCTCTATCCCCCCATCCTATTCAGATATCAAATGTAGCTGAAATATTGTGTAGAGTTGGTTTATGTGCTAGGTTTAATCAGAAATGTTGACAGAAATCAATACAGAAGAACAGTGATGCGTGGAGATGCTTGTTTCTTGGTTTCGATATCTACTATTTACAAAGGGCACCTAAGAGGTTAATACTTTCCTCCTGAAGCAGTCCAAATGAGTTCATCCTTTGGGACAGGAGCTGATGCAATTGGTCTATGTCTTATGTAAAGTGTCTTTTTCAGTGTGTTATAATATATGAATACACAATATATGTATGTATGTATGTATGTATGTATGTGAGTGTGATCAACATACAATAGACCTGTAATATATCATAAATTGATTTATATAGTCAATACCTTTCTTTTAGTTTTGGATAAAGTAAAAAGGGTTAAAACCCCTTACGGGTTTTCTTTTTTGCTGTATGGGAAGCAACATCCTATTTCAGAGACACAACAGAAAATTAAAGAAAATCTCTAAAAGTGGTGAATACTCTTCCTAGGCAGACCACCCTGGAACAGGATGTTGCCACTGGAAGATTTACCTTATCTATTACTCTTGGGATAACGTGAACATTTTGGATCTCTCTTCCCTTTTTTTTCGGTGACAACTGTCAGTAAACAGAGAGGGTGAATTTCCCCAATGGGGACACAAAGCGATAAAAACCTAAAAGCCAATCTAACCATTCCCTACTCTAAAAAGTTTCTTTTTTGGGGATAAAAGATTTTGCCTAGAGATACAGTTTAAAAAAAAAAAAAAAAAAAGCTTGATTTTCTCATAATGCTAAAATGCAACCAATCTGCAATTTCTTGTGACACCACAAGGTCATCAATGTGTCAAAGCCTGAGGCTATCAAAGGTTATGAGTGATTTTATTGAGTTGTATGTTTCCACTAGAATTGAAAAGAAAAAAAACCCCAAAAAATCAAAACAAAAAAACACACACACACAAATTTACCGACTGAATCTTGAATAATTGTGGCTTTAGCCCCTTGTCTACAAAGGTATATTTATATATTCACCGCCCTTGAGATTGCCAATCACTTCAAAAACAAGATTGACACAATTCGCAGGGACATCGCCGCTGCTCAAACTCCCACCAAACCCGCCCCCTCTCACACAGCTACCCCCTCATCCCCCCTCTCCCTCAGCCTCACCACTGCTCTGACCTCCACCCCACCTAACATTCCTCACACTGAAGCCCCCTCAACACTCCACACCTTCGACCTTACTACCATCGAGGAGGTCACCAAGGTCTTCTCTGATGCCCACCTCACCACCTGCCCCCTCGACCCTATCCCCTCACAACTCCTACGATCTCCCTCTCCCTTCATCCTACGCTCCCTCACCCACATCTTTAATCTCTCCCTCTCTTCCGGCGCATTCCCCTCCCCTCTGAAGCATGCGCACATCACTCCCATACTTAAAAAGCCCTCCCTGGACCCCACAACCTCAGACCCATCTCCCTGCTCCCATTCACATCCAAACTGCTCGAGCGTTTAATCTATAAACTTCTAAGCTCGCACCTCAACCACAACAACCTCCTTGACCCCCTACAGTCTGGCTTCCGTCCCCTACACTCCACCGAAACTGTCTTACTCAAACTCTCCAACGACCTTCTAACCGCCAAAGCTAATGGCCACTATTCAGTGCTCCTACTCCTCAACCTCTCCGCGGCCTTTGACACAGTGGACCACCCCCTCCTTCTCAAAAAACTACACTCACTTGGCCTCAGAGATTCCGCTCTCTCCTGGCTCTCATCCTACCTTTCACAACACTCTTTCAGCGTTACCTATAATGCTTCCACCTCCCCCTCTCTGTTGGGGTCCCTCAAGGCTCCATCCTCGGGCCTCTTCTCCATCTACACCTACTCCCTTGGCCTGCTCATACACTCTCACGGCTTCAACTACCACCTCTATGCCGACGACACACAAATCTCTCAACCCCTCGCCTCACCCCCTCAGTGTCTGCCCGAATCACAAACCTACTAAACGACATATCAGATTGGATGTTGCTCCACTTCCTTAAACTGAACCTCTCCAAAACCCAGCTCCTTGTCTTCCCCCCAGCCCGGACACCCCCCCCCCCATTGACTTCTCCATCATGTCCAACAATGCCACTATCAGGCCCGCCCCACAGGCCAGAGTACTTGGTGTCATTCTGGACCCCAACCTATCCTTCCAGCCCAAGTCCAATCACTAACAAACTAATGCAGACTCCACCTCCGCAACATCGCCAAAATCCGCACGTTCCTAACCCCAGAAACCACTAAACAGCTCATCCACTCCCTTATCATATCACGACTGGACTACTGCAACTCCCTCCTCACTGGCCTGCCTCGCCACAAGCTATCCCCGCTTCAGTCGATCCTGAATACGGCAGCCAGACTCATTCACCTTACCAACCGCTCCGTTTCCGCCACCCCCCTCTGTCAATCCCTCCACTGGCTTCCGATTGCACAACGGATCAAATTCAAAATCCTAACACTGACGTACAATGCTGTCCATCATACTACCCCCAAATTACATCTCCGACCTAATATCCAAGTACCACCCAACACGCACACTCCGCTCCTCACAAAACCTCCTTCTCTCTAGTTCCCTAGTCTCCTCCTCCCATGTACGCCTCCAGGATTTCTCCAGGGCGTCATCCATCCTCTGGAACTCCCTACCCCAATCCATCAGGCTATCACCTACTCTCCTCTCCTTTAGGCGCACCCTGAAAATCCACCTCTTCAGGGAAGCCTACCCCACCCCCTGCAATTGCCGACCTCCTCCACTCCTCCTACCACCCCATCCCCCACAGCTATCTCCTCCTGCACCACTATCCCCTCCCTCCTAGATTGTAAGCTCGAAGGAGCAGGGCCCTCGAACCCCTCGTGTATCACACTGTATTGTTATTGTATTGTCGCACGTTCTGTCTCCCTTTGTAATGTACAGCGCTGAGCGAACTGTTGGCGCTTTATAGATACTGTATAATAATAATAATATTATGATTTATTTGGTTGCAAGTTGCTGTTGAGCTTGGTATTGTTTTTCTATGCCAGCGTTCATATAAAAATGATCCAAGCAATTTACTTTTACTGTTCCTAGAAGGTCCTGAACTACCCCAACCCTCCGCTGCTAGCCGCAGTGATTCCTGGGCTCTCCTGTTTCTCCAGGAAACTTGGGATCGCAGTAAATTGGCCCAATACATTCTGCAGGAGGAACATTTGTCCCGCAATCTCCTCTGCAATGAGTAAACCCACCAGTGATATGTATTACATCACTTTTGTTCAGAGCTGTCATTCCCTAGTGTCTATGCTGCAGAGCTTGGACTGGGACAGGAAGAAGCAGCATAAAGAGCCAATCAATTTTGCTGCACTGTTCATATGCTAACAAGGAACATTCTGATAGCAGGAGAGAGCAGAATGAGATGAGTTAATCAGTCCACTGCTTCTCCTTTCATTGTCAATGTAAAGTATCACTGAGCCACTTTCTTTCTTCTGATATTTTATAAAACCTGAACATTGGCACACAGATGAAATACATATATTGGAGTTGATTTACCTACCAAAGTGTTTGTATTCTTGTTCATTCATTTCTGAGATTTACACAGCTCTACAGAACTGTCTGTTAGGGCTGAAGACAAGATTTTTTATCTCCTTCAGTTCAATAACACTTACAAGTCTTGCGCTTTACAATGACAAGAAACACAGCAGATTGATGAGCTCGTCTCTCTGGCATCGTGTTCTCTCTCCTCCCATCAGCATGCCCCCGGCAATGTAACACTACTGCTGTTTCTTCCTCCCTAAGTCTGCACTCTGCTGTACAGGGACTGCAGGAAACTTACATACTAATTAAATACTTTTATTCATGCATTATTAAATACAGAGCTGCAATCATTTGTGTCTTTTCAATCTGCTTGGAGGTCAGCTTTAAGGGCCCATTAACATTATTGTGTTGCAGTAATGCACAGCAACGCATTACATACAGTGTGGTGCCTAGTTTTCATTGTGAGTGGCATCCTAATGCATCTACGCAGCACAGCGCGTGTCCACTATACAAATCCTGGTTCACATCTACGCAGTGTGGTACACAGCGATATGAAGAACAAGGCTGCATGACCATTATGTGTTGTGTTTGAATTGGCAACTCATGTGCAAGTGCAACTGTCATGGATCCACCCCACACGCCCACAGCGACTAGCTAACCGAGGCGCGCACATGCGGCCGTGACTTGGGGTAAGAGGGAATAAGGGGGACTTAATCTGAATATATATAAGTATATAAGAACGGCCGTGATATACTTTCACAGCCCGCACTACCTCTGGCCACCACTAGAGGGAGACTCCAGCTGGCTGACCACACACACAGGCAGACACGAATCTTATATACAATCTGGTGCACACTAAGGGTTGAGGAGCAGCCTAGCAATTGCACACCCTTCTAGGATTCCTCCAGCTATCCTACAAGCCAGAACCCCGGTGTTAATCACGCTTCCACTGTCCCCACACCAGACACACCAAAAACGGTAGCTTGCCACCACCCAACAGTTTTACTGGCCTGCTGGGCCGACACACACACACACACACACACACACACACACACACACACCTCCGTCTGGCAGACCTGTTACCTTTACAATCTGCATGCAATCTGCCAACACGCAGTGCAATTGCATACAGATTGGCAATGAACTTGACCGAGCATATAAAAGACACCGCAATCCAATCCAATCTCTCTGGAGATATGAGCCCGAGCTTAAGTACCCAGAATTAATTTATTAATTTTATGATTTAATATCCCGAAAGTGGGCATAAAATATGTACAAAGTATAAAAAGTTACAGAAAATACAAGAAGACACACAATTGGCTATAGAATAAAAGGGAAATAAAAAACAGAAATAAAACTTTTACCAAGAGTTATCCTGCGACTGGAGCCAGTCAGAGAAAGTCCGCAATCCGTCAGTCAATAGAACCGGCTCCATACGAATCACCCCGTCCATATCCCAGGTCCTCAATTTATGGGAATATGGACATAGGCTGGACATTAGCCCTTGGCCAATAGACTCTGGTGGGTGTTCCTGTACCAGCCCACAGGACATTCTGGATACTGATATGCCCAAAGTCAATTGGACCAGGAACAGTTTGAATCACCAAGTCAGGGATTGAATTTCCAACACCAGCGCGTCAGTCCGATCGCGACAGTACCAATCACTGTTCAGCTGTCGCAATCAGGCGCCATATAACCATTTTCTGCATTTTTCTGGCATTCTACATAGGTTACAAATACAGTTTTACATGCAGATGTAGCCTACAGTGTGTCCAATCAGAAGGAAGTATTTTCATCTCTCTGCAACTAATATTTTAGCTTTTATGAGATGAAATATATTCCTTTGATCTGTGTATATTTGTCAAAGCTCCCAGACACGTCAGAACCACCTCTGGTCTCCCGCTGTGTCATGGAGCCAAACCGTCTAGAGCCCTTTTCCTTCCAGATTTCCAGGAGGTGACAAATCTTATTGGCATCCAGTTGTCACCTCCTGTCTGAAGGAAGCTCTGTCCCTTCAGATGCTAATTGGTGACCATATGTCTCTGACTGAATTTTGTACACATCTTATATTAACATGGAATGCTAATTCTACAGTCATATTTCTACAGATCACATCTCAGCTACTCAAATCTTACATGTACGTTACAGCAACTCATGTTATTGGACAAAAAAAAAAAAAAAAAAAAAACATTAACGTGAGTGCAACATTGCATCCATATAGTGTGAATGGGCCCTAAAAGATATTTTTTTTCTAAAGCTCTCTAAAACATTATGTAGACTTTATAAAGCTGTGCCAGCTTTTTGGTTACCAACTAGCCATTGCTGCATCCTTACCTTCTGTAAATTCTAAAGCACCAGCACACACAAGTGCGGCAAATTCACCGACACTGAATCCTGCCACTGCAACACAGTTCTCTAGAGCCTAGAAAAAAAAAAAAAACAAAGTCAGCTTTAAGCCTGGTCTAACAACATCTGCTAAGATTGTTAAAACACGGTTTAAAGGAATGGGAAAAGTGGCAGTCTCTTAAAAACCAGTTTTTGTTTTTATAGTTTTGAATGGAGCAGGGAAAGTTTAGAACCTCTTTCAGGTTTTAATTGCTGTCTGTATCCCCGTTGGGGTTATACAATCTCTATGTTTATGCTGGTGACCATTGTCTCCATTGTTGATGAGAATTCTAAAAAATGTTAGAGTTGTCACTGGGCCAGGAGGAGGAAAAAAAATCTCCAATGGGGACACCTGTTCTGGCAATAACTGAATAAGAAAACATTTGCCCTTGCTTTTATGGGATTACCTCTCGGTTCCTGTTGTGCTTCTAGGACAGGAACTGAAGGAAATCTCTTCAATGTATTTAGTAAACCCTTTCCCTGAATATATATTTAAAAACATTTAACAAAGTTATAGTATAGCTTATCCTGAGGCAAAGAGGTACTCTTATGGGCTAATTCAACAGTGCAAAATGGCATAGAGCCAACTGCAAAGTGAAGAGACAGAAACCAAAAGCCCTCTTATGCTGGTCTGGCTTCAGTGAAGCTAAAGTAGGTCTCCACCCTACCTGGTTAACCTTTAGTATGCCAAAGGCCTGTGCAAACAATTGCTGTTTTTATTTTTGAAAATACTTTTTTGACCTTTTTTGCCACTCAGTTCTGATCTCCTGCAGCCTTTTTGTGGCCATTACCCACACACATGTTAACGGCAGCTTCCTGATGGAGGCAAAGGTAAAGCATGCCTGTGCAAGAGACTGTTGGTATGGTCACTTATAGCCTTCATCAGAATGTGTGAAAGGGTGACAATGCAGGAGAACATTGCAAAGACAAAGTCCTTCATTAGAATGAGAACGTATGCAGATCAGCATTTCTGATTTTACTTCAGGTCATTGAGCTAAAGTGAAGGCAGTAACGGCCAGGCATGTAGTATTTTTCTGAAAGTCTGCATTTTTATCGATCCGTTTTTCTTTTCAGCTATGTTCACACCTCGTGCATTTAACCTTCCTAGAGGTAATCCTGATTGTGACTCGGGGTTAATTTACAGTACCAAAACCGGTAACCCAGAGGCACACTCGGGATTACACTGCAGTGCTTGTCCTGCAATCCCCCAATCCTTACTTTGTCCTGCGATCCCCTGGTCTCCTCCTGCTCTGTCCTCTGGCCAATGCTAGCATCCGTCTTCCGGGTTCCCTTCCCTGCAAGCGTCGGGATGGAGGGGGGGGGGCCAGCGGGAGATTCAAAAAAGTAAAAACATGACATACACACAATACATTGTAATCTGTTAGGATTACATTACTGTATCAAACCATTTCACCTAAATTTTATCCCTAGTGCTTTGTCCAGTGCCCTGCCTTTTACCGTTTTTTCTGCCTGGAAACTTGGGAAAGTCCATGGCATCCAAAAAGTGTCCCTTTAGGTCAAAAGAGGTTTTAGACCAGCTAGAGAACAGTGATAGTAAATTAGAATTACTTGCAGAATTGAGCAATAGTGATTCGTGGGGAAATCCGTCATCAGACACTGAAAGTGACGACAGTAGTGATTCTGCGACTGAGCTCAGTGATGTGCGAACTATTTCAAATTTCAGTGTTTTTGGTTTGATTAAATTATTGAATTAAATGAATTTTTTTTTTTTTTTTTAAATAATTATTTATTATAATTTAATGTTTCAAACTTTACCATACTCGGGATGTTTACTAAACTCTTGTTTGGATAGATTTAAGTGAGTTATTTCTAAGAATTACAGGCCAACAATATAAAACAACAAATTTCCATGCAAAACAATGTACCACTTTGACATTCAAAAATATTGACATAATTAGACTGCCAGGGAAATTAAAGTGGCACTTCACCCTCTTACTCATCTTCCCATCTCTACACCCCTCTACTAGTGAAATCGGGGTTTTTTTGTGGGGTTTTTTTTTTTCTTTTTTTTTTTACGAACTCTTCTGGCCCAGCTTCCCCCATGTACATAATTTGGCAAATTAAGTGCACTTAAACCTGCTGTGCCATCAGGAATATGCGCATCACATGTCCTGGGAGGCATTAGCTTGCTCTGAGAATAGAGGAGGGGGCGGGAATAGTGGAGAGCTTCCGGCTGAACCAGGAAAATCCGGCAGCTTCCTGATGATGTCACACATGAAGATGGCAAAACAGAATCGAGCATGGGGCAGAAGGGAGGAGGATCTCAGCAAGACCCCTCAGGAGCCAGTGGGTGGGTATGCCACTTTAAGATCCTGCTTGCTGCATCTTTGGTGCACTTTCATTAAAAAAAAATTTGTTATATAGAAATCAGTGATAATGTATGTAAATCGCACTGCACAGGTGTGAACTGGGATTTAAAGAGGCCCTATCACCAGACTTTAGTTTTCAACGTTTTCTCATAATATACATGCACTTAATGTATTTTATGCACGTAATTTACCTGTAAAAGCCTCCCTTGTGTAGCAATCTAGAAGTCCTGAGACTTGCTAAGTGATGCCATCTTGGATGTGTTGTCAGCAGCCCCAGCAGACTCAGAGCTGTCACACAAGTTATACTCCATAGTATTCAACATCATTTCTCTTCTGGCTGCTTTACAAAAGGTCATGTAGGGAGGCGAGGGGTGGAGGAGCTGGGTCAGCACAGCCAGAAATCAGTCACTCACAGAAGAAGAAAGGGTTAAGATGTACAAGGAGGGAGGGGCTGTTCTTGAGAACTGACTCTTGCTGGTGCAGTAAAATTTTCTAGCAAGATCAGAGTTTCAGAGGCACATTGCAAGCAAAAAAATATGATTTCTGGAAATGACAACAATGCAAGTAAGTATTTAAAATACTTGATTTTTCTGTGCTGTTACTTCCAATGCTTTATTTGGTGACAGGGTCTCTTTACAGACAGTGCATAGAAAGGATGCAGCAAGGCACCTAGAAGCTAGTGGGTGCTGCTTGAAGGCAGGGCAACCATTTATATCCCTGGATGGAAGAAATGAACTTACAGCCGGGTTTTCCTGGGTCAGCTTCTCAGTGGCAGCCATACAAGTGACAAACATAGCAGGCTGGCAATGGATGGTCTTGTTCAGCACTTCAGCGGGGCCCTGGAGACACAGGTTCAAGAGGTCGTAGCCCAGAACCTTGTGGGCAGTCAGGAACATCTCCCTGACACTGGGGTACATGAGGAGCCCACCAGCCATGCCCACTGCTTGGCTTCCCTGCCCTGGGAAGAGGAGGACTGTGGTTTCAGTGGATGACCTCCTGCCTGCTCTGTGGCTCTCCGCCTCCTCTTCATTCTGGTCTGTATAAGCTTCCTCCAGCAGAGTGTTTATCTCCCCCCTGTCCTTCCCCGACAGCCACCTCCGCCCATTATACAGAACCCCTCGGTGCCTCAGTACCCTGAGAAGAGCTGAGACCGCCATCCCTGCCTTGTGACAGCAACCATGTGTCAGTGTCATACAACTCTCCCTGAATCACGTGCACCTCCCTGTACACCGCAAAACACTTCCGGGTCTGAAGTACGCTGGAAATCCTTCCCTACCAGAAACATCACCGCCAGCACAAAGGTTCCTAGATACAGAAGAGCGATGAACAGTTCTGAAACTGGGCATCAATGCATAGGTTTTCAATCGATTTTTAAGTTTTTAACTGGTAAATTTTAATTGTGAAGTGATATTTGCACTACTTTGTTCAAAATTAGATCAAATAAATTGCAAAGATTTTGAAATAATGTTTATGGAATTTCGTAGTAACAATTAGCGCCCAGTCATATTTAGTTAGGCTAATCAATTACGTGTGTTTGTGTACTATATTGCCAAGAGTATTGGGACCCCTCCAAATCATTGGATTTAGATGTATAAAATCAAGCACCTAGGCATGCAGACTGCTTCTACAAACATTTGTGAAAGAATGGGTCACTCTCAGGAGCTCAGTGACTCCAACCGTGGTACTGTGATAGGTTGTCACCTGTGCAATAAGTCCATCCATGAAAATGGGACAACTGGGAACAACAGCAACTCAGCCATGAAGCGATAGCCATGTAAACTGACAGCGGGGTCAGCGCATGCTGAAGTGCGCAGAAGTTGCCAACTGCAGAGTCAATAGCTAAAGACCTCCAAATTTCAGGTGGCCTTCAGGTTAGCACAACAACAGTGCTTAGAGAGCTTCATGGAATGGGTTTCCATGGCCGAGTATCTGCATCCAAGCCTTACATCACCAAGTGCAATGCAAAGCGTTGGATGCAGTGGTGTAAAGCACGCCGACACTGGACTCTAGAGCAGTGGAGACGTGTTTTCTGGAGTGACGATTCACACTTCTGTCTGGCAATCCAATTGACTTGTCTGGGTTTGACAGCTGCCAGGAGAATGGTACTTGCCAGACTACATTGTGCCAAGTGTAAAGTTTGGTGGAGGGGGGATTATGGTGTGGGATTGTTTTTTAGGGGTTGGGCTTCACCCCTTAGTTCTAGTGAATCTTAAGACATCAGCATACCAAGACATTTTGGGAAATGTCATGCTCCCTTTGTGGGAACAGTTTGGGGATGGCCCCTTCCTGGTCCAACATGACTGAACACCAGTGCACAAATCAAGGTCCATAAAGACATGGATGAGTGATTTTTGGGTTGAGGAACTTGCCTGGCCTGCAGAGTCCTGACCTCAACCCAATAGAACACCTTTGGGATGAATTGAAGTGGAGGGTGAGAGCCAGGCCTTCTTGTCCGACATCAGTGCCTGACCTCACAAATGCGCTTCTTGAAGAATGGTCAAACATTCCCATAGACATACTGCTAAACCTTGTGGACAGCCTTCCCAGAAGAGTTGGAGCTGTTATAGCTGCAAAAGGTGGGCCAACTCAATATTGAACCCTAAGACTGGGATTCCATTAAAGTTCATGTGCGTGTAAAGGCAGGCGTCCCAATACTTTTGGCAATATAGTGTGTGTGTATATATAGATGTCATATCGAAAGCAGTGACTGTGTCCATGGAGCTGATGCATCCCAATTGACAGTTATTGGACTGCCTGCACAAGAACGCACAAAACGCCCTATGCCAGTGAAAAACACGACCCTGTAAGGTGCATGAATTAAATCTCCACCTTTGAATGAGATCTAAGTCCATTATTCTTTAACAGACCAAGCTGTCCAGCAAAAGTGGCTGTTTACCATTTAACACTGACAGGGCTGCTTACAATGGTCAAGATTTAATTTGGCAATATAAAACCTTTATCCCAAAAGGAATACAAAACTGTTGCTATATCTGCTTAAAAGCGTGAGCTGGAGTTCAGCTTTAGGCTGGGTTTCACACTGATGCATTGCTGAATTCGCAGCGTTTTCTGTGCGAATTCCGCACCACATCAGAATCGCGCCCCATTCATGCGAACCGATGCGGATGTGTATGTTAACACCCCGAAATGGGTCTGCAAAACGCGGTGTGATGTGCAGAATCGGATCGCATAGGTGTGAATACCCATGCGATACGATTCTAGTACGGACCCAAAAAAAGGGTCCTGCACCTTTTTGGGTGTGGTGCGATTAGAGCCATACATAATGTATGGCTCCAATTGCACCGCACACAAATCACATGTGATTGTTACACATACCTGCTCTGTGTAATGGTTTTGCGCTGCGCAGACCCAATCTTCCTCTCCTTGGGGCCCCTGCCAGCGCTCTGGGCTCCTCCCCCTGATGAGTGCCCCCATAGCAAGCCACTTGCTATTTTGGGACTCAAAGACACACAAAGCATGGCTCTGCCCCCCCCCCCCCCCCCCCTCACTGGATGTGATTGACAGCAGCAGGACCAATGGCTCCCACAGCTGTCTTTGAGCCAATGAGGAGAAAGAGCTGAGAGAAACACTGCTCTCATGTACTGTATATCGCTGGATTGAGATGGGGCTCAGGCAAGTATAGGGGGGGGCTGGGGGTACAGAAGACCACAGAAGTTTTTTTACATTAATGCACAGAATGCATTGAGGTAAAAACCTAGCTTTACAACCACTTTAATGTGTTAGTCAGGTCCATCTGAATCTGTTAGTGCATTTAACCTTTCTCTCCCCCCAGACCTACAAAAGGTATTCTGTCTAAAGTTGTCTCTGTTACTCCTCCATCCAGAATGCACACACCCAAAGACATAAATGGGTTGATTTACTAAAACTGGAGAGTGCAAAATCTGGTACAGCTTTGCATGGTAACCAATTGGCAATAAAACTTTGAAGCTGATTGGTTTCTATACAGAGCTGCACCAGATTTTGCACTCCAGTTTTAGTAAATACCCCTAATGTGTGTCACTGGCTGAATCACCAGGTGAAAATAAAAGGAAGAAAGCCAGAAAACCAACACAGCCATCACGTTTAAGAATTGGTAAGCTGCATTATATAATATCTAATTAGGTTTGGGTTTAATTTGCCTTTACATGGAAAGGCATGGAACTGAGACCTTTCCAAAACGGAAACCGTTGGTTCACCTTTACCAAAACATTGCCTATGTAGATAAGGGGTGTCTGTAGCTAAAAGCAAATTGTGAAGCTCTGACTAAAGTTGAATAATGCCCTTGCTATAGGTGTAGGGCTGAATGGAATACTCTCAGCACGTTGCTAGGATGTTGTTAAGTGAGGCCTAGTCATTGCTGCTCACCTCTTCCATTGCAGAAGTGAGCTCTCAAAGGCTGAGCTCAGAGCTACTGCACTAGGGGAGAGAGCATGGAAGGGGGTTTGACTCAGAGAAAAAGCTCACTCTTGTGATGGTGGGGGTAAACGACTAGGCCTCACTTAGTAATGTCCCAGCAACATCCTGGGAGTATTCCAGTCAGCTTCAGGAGGTATGTACATTGGCTTGAAAAAGTATTCATACCCCTTGAAATTTTCCACATTTTGTCATGTTACAACCAAAAACGTAAATGTATTTTATTGGGATTTTTTTTTTTTTTTTGATAGACCAACACAAAGTGGCACATAATTGTGACGTGGAAGGAAAATGATAAATGGTTTTCACAATTTTCTACAAATAAATATGTGAATAGTGTGGCATGCATTTGTATTCAGCCCCCCTGAGTCAATACTTTGTAGAACCACCTTTCACTGCAATTACAGCTGCAAGTCTTTTTGGGGATGTCTCTACCAGCTTTGCACATCTAGAGAGTGACATTTACAGTTGTGGCCAAAATTATTCAACCCCCAATGCTGTAAAGGGGTTTAGGGAGCTATAGTGTGTACATTTGGAATTGTATTCAGAATCAAATCCTACAAGGACGTTGTAACTACCCAAATGCAACTAAAATGACATCAATTGTTTATGTAATACAGTAGTAAATGGTTCTTATGTGGGTCGTTTCTTCATTGCCCACAATTATTCAACCCCTTAAAGACTACCACTCTGAAGAACAGAGGTTCATACAGGTGTTCCATCAGGTATTGAAAACACCTGTGGATGTCACTCAGCAATCAAGCATAATAAGCACCAATTAGGCAGCTTTAAAATGACTGTGATACTCAGCTCCTTCTAGACATTTACTGGTGTGGTTACAAACATGGTGAAGGCAAGAGAATGGTCCAGGAAGACAAGAGAAGAGGTGATTTCTCTTCACAGGAAGGGCAATGGCTATAAGAAGATTGCAAAGATGTTAAACATACCAAGAGACACCTTAGGAAGCATCATTCGCTGTTCAAGGCAAAGGGCACTGTTGAAACGCTACCTGGTCGTTCAGAAAGAAGATGCTGACTTCGACTGCTGTGCGCTACCTGAAGCGTTAGAGTGGAGAGAAGTCCCCGTGTGACTGCTGAGGAACTGAGAAAAGATTTGTCAGATGTGGGTACAGAAGTTTCAGCCCAGACAATAAGAGCACACTGCGTAATGAAGCCTCCGTGCCAGAACTCCAGGCGTACCCCCTTGCTGTCTCCAAAGAATAAGAAGAGTCGACTGCAGTATGCCAAAAGCCATGTGGACAAACCACAAAAGTTGTGGGATAGTGTTCTGTGGACTGATGAAACAAAATTAGAACTGTTTGGGCCCATTGGATCAACGCTATGTTTGGAGGAGGAAGAACAAGGCCTATGATGAAAAGAACACCTTGCCTACTGTGAAGCATGGTGGAGGGTCAATCATGACTTTGGGGCTGTTTTGCTTCTGCAGGTACAGGGAAGCTTCAGCTAATGTGCAAGGTACCATGAATTCTCTTCAGTACAGGAGATATTGGATGGAAACGTGATGCAGTCCGTCACACACCTGAGGCTTGGGAGACGTTGGACCTTTCAACAGGACAATGATCCCAAGCATCCCTCCAAGTCCACTAGAGCATGGTTGCAGAGGAAAGGCTGGAACATTTTGGAGTGGCCATCGCAGTCACCAGACTTAAATCCGATTGAGAATCTGGTGGGACTTAAAGAAAGCAGTTGCAGTGCGCAAGCCTAAGAATGTGACTGAACTGGAGGCC